GATTCATACCAGAGATACCAAAAATTTATACCGGGAATGTCAAAAATTCATAATAGAGATGCCAAACAAATATTTAAAAACGTTAAAACAACATACAAGGGACTCTAAAAATTCATACTTGCATCCTGATAGAGCCCCAACCCTGCTCCATCACATCCTAACTAGCTATTATTTGTTAGGTCTGATCAAGAGCACCAAAACAACACACCAAAGACACTAAAGATTCATGCCTGGAACTCCAAAGATTCATACTAAAAATGTCAAAATTTTATATTAGAAATGCCAAACAAATATACTGCAAGAACACCAAAGCAAAATATATCAAGAACTCCAAAACAACAACATATTAGAGACTTCAAAGATTTATACTTGCACCCTGATAGAGCTCCAACCCGCTCTATCACATTTTAACTGGCCATTATTTTGTTAGGTCTGATAGGATGCTAAGATTCATGCTAGAAACTCCAAAGATTCATACCAGGAACTCCAAAAATTCAAACTAGAGATACCAAAAATTTATACCGGGAATGTCAAAAATTCATAACAGAGATGCCAAACAAATATCCGAAAACGTCAAAACAACATATAAGGGACTCTAAAAATTCATACTTGCATCCTGATAGAGCCCCAACTCTGCTCCATCACATCCTAACCAGCCATTATTTGTTAGGTCTGATTAAGAGCACCAAAACAATGCACCAGAGACACTAAAGATTCATGCCTGAAACTCCAAAGATTCATACTAGAGATTCCAAAGATTCATACAAAGATGTCAAAATTTTATATCAAAGATGCCAAACAAATATACTGCAAGAACACCAAAGCAAAATATATCAAGAACTCCAAAACAACATATTAGAGACTTCAAAGATTTATACTTGCACCCTGATAGAGCCCCAACCCGCTCTATCACATCTTAATCAGCTATTATTTTGTTAGGTCTGATAGGACACTAAGATTCATGCTAGTAACTCCAAAGATTCATACCAGAAACTCCAAAGATTCAAACTAGAGATACCAAAAATTTATACCAGAAATGTCAAAAATTTATAACAGAAATGCCAAACAAATATCCAAGAATGTCGAAACAATATACAAAGGACTCTAAAAATTCATACTTGCATCCTGATAGAGCCCCAACTCCGCTCCATCACATCCTAACTAGCTATTATTTGTTAGGTCTGATCAAGAGCACCAAAACAACACACCAAAGACACTAAAGATTCATGCCTGGAACTCCAAAGATTCATACTAAAAATGTCAAAATTTTATATTAGAAATGCCAAACAAATATACTGCAAGAACACCAAAGCAAAATATATCAAGAACTCCAAAACAACAACATATTAGAGACTTCAA